AGCCTCCCCATAAATGCACACCCTATTTGTACAAGAGAGACACAACTCCTAAGAAGACAAAAAAATACACACCCTATTTGTACTTGAATTATAACTCGGATCCCAACGTAGATGATATATTTTTAATCAAATTAGGAAGAAGATTAGTGGAGATGTGTGTAAATTGGCTTGAACACCTCTGACCGCTTGGTACGTGGCATCATGAAAAAAAATTCTAGCTTAGAGTGGCAAAGTTATACCCCTTGCAAAATAAAAGTCATATTAGAGTTAACAAAATAGCATCTGAGAAAATCTTGGAGATTTTCAAGCCTGCAAGCAGCAGGCAACAACGGCCAGCTGACTCATTATATGCAGTCAAAATGATTAATTCTTAATACAAATTCCATTGGAAAGCGCAAAATATGATGGTAAGTTTCATTGAAAATGCAAGAGCCTTACAATTTTTTAGAGGACTGCCACACTTAAAATTGTTGTTAAGACGATTAGACTAGTTGAAAGGCTTTGTTCCATTTGTTTTGTAGAAGGCAATTAGCTACTCTTACTAGGAACAACAAGCTAGACTATATTAGAATGGATTATATTTACTCTTTCCTCGAGTGAAAAGAACAGTCCTCATTTATTAGATTTGAAGCGATGACTTGAATTTCTTCTCACAATGTTTAAAATGTGTTACTTTTTAGTTAAGTGGGTCCATTTGATTCAATTCACAATTAACCGACTACGACGTGATACTAATGCATTTATAAATGTATACATTAATATAGTAAACTATATCATTTGGATATTAGTTACAATACGGCGAAACTAAAAAATGAATTTTTAGGTTGTACACTTAATTTTCTTAGGATTCAATGAGAGGTTGAGCACCAAGCTATGGGTTTGAGTCTTTCAATCTCGACGAATTTCATAAATACATCAATTCATCTTGAATCATGCTCATAACGTAAAATGTCACTCTCAGTAAATCTCCAATAAGATCCACAAAAAACTGAAAACAGGAGCCTACAACACAAGATATGCTATGTGGACTGGCTTTCGGTGGACAAGTAAACAAAGTGCTTTGCACCTGCAATAATACACATGAAATTATATCTGGAGCCCTTAGTTCGACTGGACTGTAGGCTTGGACCACAGCCTTCCCAATAATATCCACTGGAGCATTGCCATGCCTATCAAATTATTTACTAAATTTTGTATACCAAAGCAGTGGTTGAATTAGTGGTCCTGTCATCCGAGCTAATGGTCTAGTAGTAAGTCGTACCCATACGAGGTTATCCCTAACCCCTATATGGTTATCAAGCAGGTTTTGACCCACAGAAATAACGCAGTTTACTGCTTGTCTTTGGTGGTGGTGTTGTAGTGATAAAATGTCCTTCCGGATTAGTAATTACAAATCTTATGATTCAAATCAGACATTCCACAACAAAGAAACCCCCGTGATCATGTAATTGTAACCCCTCTTTCCACCTTGAGTTTTGCTGTTGAAATCATATTTTGGCACCAAATTCTATATTATTCTATTCACCAAATAATATATCATTATGAACAAAAGCGGATTGAGCCAGTAGTAAGTGTCTTTTTCACTTCCTCCACTGATGCTAGGTTCAAGTCTCACCAGCCATGGCCGGCTCAATGATTGAGACATTGGGGATATAAACTACAGTTTTCCTCAGTAGGCTACCATATCTCAAACATTCTGTGACAATGGTCCCTACGAACTGTAATCAAATCACATTCAATAAAATTATTGAATTTTTAATTTTTTTTTTTGAGCTTTCTTGATTTCTTGCAATGTCGAGAACAACTGGAGTCTTGTTCACAACTAAATCATCCAACAAATGATAGATTAAAGGAATGAGATCGTTTTACTAATCAGTGATTCCCGAGCCTACCAAACACTTGCGACATTGAAATAGGGGATTGATTGATCAGCTTTCTAGTATGCCAACTTGTGCTCCTTTTAAATCCCATTTTTTCGTCAATTGGTTGGGTGAGTCTAGAGTTTCTTATTCACACTGAAAGCGTAATGGAAGAAGAGGGAGAAAAGGCACAGCCAACCCCACTAACACCCCATGTTTCCAATCAGGGCAGCACAACAACGTAAACTGAGGTCCTAGACAAAAAATTACACCAACTTTATTAATATTTTGTGTATTAATATATGTATTTTTTTAATTATTATAATGTAATTTTTTATTTATATAAAAATTATTTTTCTTTTTTTTTTTTAGATACAAAACTGTTGATCTAAGTTCTTATATTTTTATTTATTACATGATTGAATGAATTCTTCTTCCAGTTCCAGAGTCATATCTTCAAGTAGACATATTAATGATAAAATGTTAATTTTCAAATAAAACAACACAATTTTGTAATTGTTAGATTGAAATAAAATAAAGATTTACGGTTATGAACACTGCTAAAACTCTGGGCCGGCCCTCTTTCCAACCCAAAAGGAATAGAAAATGAAGCAAATGCATAACCCGCTTTAATTCCCCAAAAATTGTTCCCATTCAAAAACATTTTCTTCTACATACAACCCTCACAATTTGATCAAAACACTTCTCAACACCAAACAACTCTAATAATCTACTCCTACCAAACGTAGCTGCATTCCCAAATCTCAAACCAAAGACCTTGATTAAGCTAAAACAGCCCCTCACTAGCTGATCTATTCGCTAGGTGATGTCGTTAGTCGTATATGCGCTTGTTTGGTTGTCATATTAGAAATTGATAGATTAAATAAAATAATAGTCTAATACAATACAAAAAGACAAAAGACAAGATTAAAAAGAATATTATAATAATACATAATTTTATCTAATATTTCATAATACACGATATAAACATTGGATAATAATTATTTAATTTCAATCAGTTATTTATTTATAGAATTATTTCACCGTATTAATGTTGAATTAACAAAAATACCTCAATCAGTGTTTATTATATTGATGACAACTTAATTTTATCAATTAAATGATATACTATAATAGTATATGTGTAAAATAATACATTTGAGTTACATTATAATACCACCTATTTTAGTGGTATTAAAATACCTCCATAATATAGATCTATCGTATAAAAAATATACATATACAATTAATACATATTTTTTAAATTAATACGGTATCAAATTTACTTACTAAACAAAGTATTAAGTCTAATTAAATAAAAAATAATACAATATAATATTTAATCCCATCCTGATACATCTACCAAACAAACCCTATATGGATTCAAAGACTCCTGCTCTCCCAACTAGATTTAGTTCCTACGTTGCACCACGGAGTTTACCACATAGACCGAACAAGAGCTTCATTATACGAGGTCCCCAAACAAGGTTTATATCTGAGAATTACTGAATCACAGATCCAGGCATATCAGAGCAGATATACTACTAAATAAAAGCATAGGGAAAAAAACCAATCCACTGAAAAAGTGCAATGCCTAAGAAAGGCTGTTTATCCACAAGGAACACTTCCAAACACAATGACAATATATATAGAAATTCAACCAATTTGTTGCATTAACCAGTTGATATCCTCCTGTATATTATCAATAATCCAACCAACAACCTTATCCAAATCACAAGTGAAAAGTATTATATTTTGGCAACTCAGACCATTAGAACTAATGCAGACGGTCATTATAGATAGCATGGTGACCAAACATAAAATGCAACAAGCGAGTAGGCAGATTCACATCCATAAAACTGAGAATGCAATCCAAAAATGATAATTTGGGATTTAGACACAAAGATCACGTCCACCAGCATGGAATAAGATAGGGAACTAGGGAAGGCTAACGCAACTCGATTTCCAAAACAGAATCCCCTGTTGATATTGTTTCATCAGATGGTTTCCACCCACAACACCAGTCTCACCTAACAAATCTTAGGATCATCACCTTCAATTTTCATGAAAGGACCTCAGCACCGAGGACCCTACTACAATATTCACCAAAAACACTAAAAGAACTTATTGACACCACCACTAGCATCATTTTCACCATTTCACTAATCATATTGTTGTGTAATCTACTGCACTCGTTAACAACTTTCTAGTCATATACCCTAAATTAGAATTTTCAAGTCCAGATGATAAGTACCATACCAACAATTTCCATTACTAAACTCGTGGTTCAAGGTGGCGTCGTTGAGGCATCGGCCATCGATTCAGAGGGTTTTGAGACACATCGATCGCAGTGTAGTATCAGACAATACGACCTAAAACAAAAATGGTGAACATAACGAGCGATTCAAGCCATTTCACGGTGTCACGAAACTGTATAGGTCAATTCGGTGACGATAACTCGACGACTCGGACAACTCAGCCGTGCAAGACTATGGGTTTACACGTAACGATATTGACTCGGGACGTGCCGAGTTGGATACAACTCAACCGACTCATATCGAAATTACGTGATACTTTGAACCATGATTTAACTGCTACACTTCCCATTTTGTGACTCAACTTAAATACAAGCCAAGTTCTAGTAAAAAGCTTCACATGTTTTCAGTGCAAAACAAAGCTACCAGCTTCCATTTCCAAGCCAACATTCAAACAGAACTGCACAACTGGCTCAGCAATCCATCACTACCCCATGTTTTCCTCGTATTAATACAACTAAACAACCAGACGATGTTCAAATATGAAACACTAGTATAGCCAAACGAACATTAAGATAGACAAACACAATCTATCTCATGTCCATCACAAAACTCTCAATCACTAGACCTATCATCTATGTATCTTAGAAAAAATTGCAGAAACATCAAGTACAACCAAATTCACTACACAAGCCTACGAGTTGAGCACAAATCTGTGCCCATCCATGAAATCACATTAAAAAGGAATTAGAAATTCTAGATTAATCAACAAGAACAATGAACACGGACACACACATCTACATGTCTATATGTATGTATAATAAGATTCACAGCATTTCCAAGTAATATATCAAAAATAGGAAAATTGGCAGATCCAAGCATATATAAATGAAGTTGATATTAATTAAAGCCAAAACATAGCATCTCCAAAACAAAACTCCAGTACTACAGGGTCCACATTAACCATCAAAACACAGTAAACCTTCAATTTCCAAATTAACAAAATCAAATAACAAGAAAACAAACCTAAGCGGTGAGTACAACAGCACCACCGGCCTCCTTAATCTTCTTCTCAGCGATCTTCGAAATGAGCTTCGCCTTCACCACAACCGGCTGATCACATGGCAAAACTCCCTTTCCAAGAACCTTGAAGTACCCAAACTGGGTCACATCGATCATCGGAGCATTGGTTTTGTTGGCCTTGTCCTTCACGTCCTGAGGGACCATCGACCAGAGCTTGTCGATGTTGACGGTGGGGCAGAAGAACTTGTTGCGAAGCTTGTGGAAATACCTCATGCCGACCTTCCCGAAGTAACCTGGATGGTACTTGTCGAAGAGGATTCGGTGGTGGTGCATACCTCCGGCGTTACCGCGACCTCCGGGATGTTTCCGGTGCTTTCCGATACGGCCGTGACCGGCGCTCACGTGGCCTCGCTTCTTGCGGTTCTTCTTGAAGCGGGTCGTCATTTCTCTCTCTCTCTCTCTCTGACGCTCCGGTGGGAAGTTGTGGATGGGGGTGGAGCGGCGGAGGAGAGCTAGGGTTTTGGTGAATTTATACGTGAGGATGAGCAGGGAATTGTATGGGCTGTGGTTGTTTTACTATTTTGCCCTTGTGTTTGGGAAAAATATCAGGAAAACCTTGCACAAAGTTTTGATGGAGTTTCCTGTTTATGGATCTGGTCAGTAGCAACGGGCTCCACACAGTCCGAATATTGGCCAGTAGACCGCCCCGGAAGAAAAACTTCTTCAGCCAATTTTTCTTTTTTTCTTATTGAGATATGTTTGGTATACCTAATTTAATAACCTTATTTAGTGATACGATGGATCATAGTCATTGAATTAATAATAAATCTCAACTAATATGGGTCTACTGTCAACTTAATGACACAGAATGATAAAATAAACAAATAAAGTTTATATAACATTACTCTTTCTTTTTACTTACTCAATTAAGAAAGTTTTTGTTCTTGTTATTTTATTTTCTCATTACTTTCTTCATGTTCATCTTTCCTCAATCAAAAGTAAAAATTACATTTTTTTTGGAATAATGTTTACATAAATTGATCATCTTAAGACATGAGTATAACTCTCTTTCTGAGTTGTTTCAACTCTTCGTTCTTTCGTGCCATGTGAACAAACAAAAAAAAGATGATCGTCTTAGCAGAAGGAGAAAGACTTGCAACAACATAGACTATTAACCCTCTTCTTGTTTTTAGCTGTCTATTACAAGTTCGAGAAGTCTCCTCAATATAAGAGATCCCTGAAAATAGAGAAGAACAAGCAGGTGTTTTGCAAGAGTCTCCCCCCTCTTCCCAATCAAGATAGTTGGGTTTTTGTCCTCCATACTAACTTCAATGTAAATAGAAAGCACAAAATTTTATGTGAAATTAATTGGATATCACACGGGAGAATTCCTACAATGAATAAAGGTAGTGATCCTCTCGATGATGAAATTGAAACAACCAAAAGGTCATAAAAAGGGTCGGGTGAACATCCGGTTTATCCCCTCTAAAACTTAAGTCAGTAGACGTTTGGAGGCTTGAACACAATATTTCTTTTTCTCAGTTTAATTTTCGTACCTTTGTTCATATTTTTTAGGAGTATTTATATCTGGATTCGCAATGAGTGTAAGGGTTTGAAGTCTCATCTCAACATTGAATGACTTGCACTATTATCCATGCGTAATGAGTGTTCTCCACTCAGATTCTGGTGACTGGTTCACTTGGGCGATAGGTTGACTGCTCGGGGCATACCGAGCACTTATGATTCTATACCCGATCATTTAAGTCTATTTGATCAACGTTTGACACCTGCTCCCGAGTGTTTAATGCTCGGAGAACAGTACCTCGAGTTTTCCCGAAGACATCTAGTCAGCGCAATGATCATTAATACTTCGCTATTATGACTGTCAGTTTGGATCTCGAGGACACAGAGACTCATTAATAGCCATGTCAATCACTTAAGTCATCATTAATGGGCTGTCATATTTCCTTAAATGCTGGTCTCAGCTTGTGTACATTACTCATCCGAGCCATTACTCCTCAGCGTCATCCCCCCGGCGTCTTTTGAGTTCCATAATAGTTATAACTATTCACGTGTCAGTTTAAGGGTTGTTGAGCCGCCTAAAGTCCCGTCAACTGCCCCCAACCTCCATTTTCTTTGCGACGTGGGACAAGTGGCATAAGGAGAATGGAGTTTTGCTAAACAAGCTTGGATTATAGGAATGGTTACTTGCACGTCCGATGTTGTTTTTTTCAAATTTCCAATTGATGACCTGCCTTTTCGATTTTCGCCCCCTACTGCCGGGTATAAATAGGAGATTGCTTGGCTAGGTACAGATTTTGCATCCTCGAACTTTCTCCTAGCAATCAATTCCCAAGCAGTCTTCTATAGTCTCCCGAACACCCGTTCTTACTCCCCCCAAGCACTCTTCTTAAAGATCTTTAGCCTATAAGTACTCTCCTTCCCATGATCTTTCTCCTTCATCTTTCCATCCTTCTTCTACATTTCTTCTAGATTTCGTACATGGATAGAATACAAAGAACTGTGGTGAGAGAACCTATTAGGGCTAGGGACAGTGGTAGGTTGAGGAAGACCGAAGTAAAAAACACCAATATTCAAGTTTTTAGGGCTGGGTACCACATTCCCAAACTCATTTACATTTTTGTCTTTGATCCTGAGTTTCATAGGATTGATATAGGGAATGTAGAACTTATGCCCTTTTTTACCAAAGTCATTATGGAGGGGGGAGTTACGTTCCCTCTCTATCCCCTCTTGCTGAGGATACTAATGCATTTGAAGTTTTTCCTCCTCTAGTGTGGCATAAATTTCTTCAGAGTAGTCATGGGCGTGGTTGCCCTAAATGCCCTTTTTTACCAAAGTTATTATGGAGGGGGGAGTTACGTTCCCTCTCTATCCCCTCTTGCTGAGGATACTAATGCATTTGAAGTTTTTCCTCCTCTAGTGTGGCATAAATTTCTTCAGCGTAGTCATGGGCGTGGTTGCCCTAAATGCTCGACTGGGGGTAAACTTGGGGGTAGATGAAATCTTGTTCTGCTATGAATTAAAATTAGTCAACGGGGGTAGATACTACCTTCAGGCTCGGGATATCTCCATGTATCTAGTGACACACATGTCGAATTCGGATAAGGGACATGTGTAGGATCTAATCATGCTCGGCGGCAATTGGGAGAAAGGAGATGGACCCGAGTATGATGAATTATACTGCCCCAAAGTGCCGAGAGGTCCAAGTGTGTATTGCACATATTTTGAAACTATTCGCTCTTATTATCGTTTCTGACCTCATTGCTGGTTTTTTCTTATAGATTCTTACAGAAGGATACAAGGCCGACTCTGCTCAACCCCTGAAGTCCCAAGTCAACTTTGAGGACTTACTCAAAGTCTGGTCCCACAACACGACTGATCTTTTTGCCCGAGCAGCTCACGTATTGTTCAGCGACTACCCAACCTACACCATGTTCTCTCAGGTCCCGCCCTCGTTTGATCCTTCAATCTGGGAGGATCACTCTTCGAAGGAAGAGGAAAAGAATCTCGAAGTCGACCCGGACAGAGACACCCAACGTACTCCATCCCCGATGAAATGTTCAACTTCTCTACCATCACTGTGAAGAGTCTAGAAATGGCTCCCAGGGCAAGGAGAGCAAGGGTTTGGAGTCTCATCTCAACATTGAATGATTTACACTCTTATCCATGCGTAATAAGTGTTCTCTACTCAAATTCTTGAGACTGATTCACTCGGGCAATAAGTTGACTGCTTGGGGCATGCCGAGACTCATGATCTTATCCCCGGTCATTTAAGTCCATATGATCAGCACTTAACACCTACTCTCGAGTGTTTAATACTAGGAGAACAGTACCTCAGGGGGTTCCCAAGAACATCTGGTCGACGCAATGATCATTAATACTTCACAATTATGACTATCAATTTGAGTCTCGAGAATGCAAAGACTCATTAATGTCTTTGTCAATCACTCAAGTCCTCATTAATGGGCTGTCATATTTCCTTAAATACTGGTCCCAACCTGCGTACTCAACTCATCCGAGCCATTACTTCTCGATACCATCCCACCGTGCCTTTCGAGTTCCATTACGGCTATAACTATCCACGTGTCAATTTGAAAACTGTTGAGCCGCCTAAAGTCCCGTCAAATACTGCAATATAATAGTAAATACCAGAGCTTAGGGTATATAATTTTGGGGCCTTATGTTACTGCACGAAAAGTTCAGGGATTTCATATAATTAGGAAAGAATCGGGAGATCAGTGTAATTAGTTTAGGTTCAGTTACAACACAAACTGAATGGCAGTAGTCACAGTATAGTCCAATACTGAAACAAGAGAATTTTTTTTTTTTTTTTTGTGGGGGGTACACCGGAGATGTGGATAACACCAAGAGGTGCCTACCCTGCTACTGCAGAATATTCTGAGTCAAACCCAAGTTGGGAACCAAGGGAAGGAAGGATAGAAACTCGAACCGAGATTCAAAACTCGGTAGAGGCAACTCTTGCCGAGTAAGTCTAGGCCTGCTTCTGAAACAACTCATTCATAAAGACAAAAACCAACTATCTCAGCTCAAATACGAAAGTGCGCATCCACCCAGAACAAGAAATTACACAGCACAAGGTGGACACACACCTACAAACACACACACATAGATCATCCACATGAACTCCAGATTAACTGAAGAGTATAACAGAGGCAAAGAACCTACACATTCAAGTAAAGGTATTAGCATCCAAAAACTAGCATCAGACATTTACTCAGACACAGGCTATTGTCGATAACAGAAATGAAAGCTAAATTCCAAAACACAATCATACATGCCTTCCAATCAAAACATGATCCATTAGGGCACCATACTTTTCCTTTACATTGGAAAGCAAATCTTAGAGAAGTGGACAGCCCCACTCCCCCCACTCATTCCCAGCCCACCGGCATAGAAAGAAATAAAGAAAGGGCTTGACCAACAATTAGTAGTTGACAATCGATAGAAATGTTTACAAATCAAGAGATTCATAATGAGTTGGAAATTAATGCTTTTAAAAACAATCAAACCCTTTACACAATGCATTTGCCCAATGCAGCTTTGTACCTTTTTCTAGATCTCAAGAGTCTCCCCTTACGATCAGAAAAACAAAACTGTCCTGCAAAAGACATCATCCTCTCAATATATTATCTAATATCTAGTTCTAGCTGCGGCAATCCTAACATGTGTAAGATTTTGGCAGGACTAGAAATAAAAACAAGTTTCCACCATCAAATGTATTCTAAAACCTAGTTTACATTGTTTCTTCAGATTGCAGAAACTACCAAGGCCTCCTTCCACCAAGAGGAACAGTGTTAGATCCTGAAATCGACCTGTTGCCAAAACCTCCCCTTCCTCTGGAGCGGAAGTTGCCCCCAGAAGCTGATAAAGAACAAAGACAAAATATTGCTCAGTTAAGCACACATCCTCTTCTCAAAATGCGAAGAATTCAACAATGATTACCTCCAAGGCCATAACCACTTGACCGGGCCAACGCAGACAATGCAGGAGGAACAATTTGCCCTGCTTCTTGCAGAATTTTAATGAGAGCTCTAGCATACTTAGCATTTGCATGGGTGAAAAACGTGAAGGCAGTTCCCTTAGCTCCTGCACGACCAGTTCGGCCAATCCTATGGACATAATCCTCAAGACTTGATGGAAAATCATAATTGATCACGCATTTTATATCCTTCACATCTACATCCACAAAACACAGATTATATTAAATGAATAAAATATATCAAAACATAAGAGGAAAAATGCAATGGCAACCTTATCCCGGCACTCATAAGATCCAAGTGATCAAATATAAGATAACACATTCATCACATAAATGTGCCCACCTTAACCTTGCAGGGATAAGGAGCAGCTCCGCCACCACAACTTCCCAATCCAAATAACCAATCAATAACTAAGCCTGTATGAGTCAACCGGGCTGTCCCGACAACCAGCTCCATAACCGTGGATGGGCATCAATAACTTCAGCCATGTTACTTGGACACAACATTCAGAAAAGTCAAGAAGTGGATAACTCAACCTAGCTCAACAAAGCCTTTAGCCCAACTATTTAGGATCACGCACATAAATCCTGCTTCTCCATTGTTCTCCATCAGGGGGCCATATTTGTTGTCAAACTGTCAGCCATCATATCTTTCTTTCCTATTTCGTTCCATTATAATTTAAGTCTACATCTACCTCGTGTTACAATTGCATGCATCAAATCATTCTTCGTTGCTGGTGCATTTCCAAGTCTTCAATAAAGATGTTCAAACCACTTAGGTCGCTTCTCTCTTAATTTATCTCCTATCGGTTCGACTTCTAGTGTCACAATTACAGTCATTTATAATTCTATTTTTCTTGTTTTACCACACATCCATCTTAGTATTCTCATTTCTACATCAGTTAGTTTTTGGAACATGATTCTTAATTGCCCAACATTTTATACTGTAAAACATTGCTAGTCAAATAACTACCTTATAAAACTTACCTTCAACCTAATGGGCATCTCACCAAAAAAAAAAAACTAATGGGCATCTGACCCAAAAAAAACCTAATGGGCATATATCGATCACATAGCACACAGCAGATGCATTCATTCATTTAACTCATCCTACTTTAAATCTATTAGTAAACTCGTCTCCAATCTCCCCCTTCCCATGGATAATTGACTCAAAATACCAAAAATGTTTGCTCGTTGACCTCTCATGATCTTCAATATTTACTACCCCAAAAAAGTCAACTATCTAAGTTTTGTGTTCCACATTTATAAGCTAAAAGCTCATGCAACAAATATTACCTATACATAAACCAAGACATAATAACGGAAAAATGGAAAAGGCAAAAACAAGAAAAAAAAAATCCACAACCTATGGTTTGCCTGGCCCTGCACAATATGACAGCAAACATTCATCAAAATCCCGTGACACTATCCTAGCTAAATCTCTAAAACTATGCTCCTTGTATCCTAACATAAGAAGTTGGTTTCATGAAAAAGATGTATTGTAAGGAGATACTAAGTGAAAATCTTTTCATTTCCTTTTGTTTCTTAAGCCAAATGATAGTTCATAATCTTTGAATCCTGGCCTTCACCCAGAGTAGCCTTCCAGATCACCACTAGGCCAAGACACCAGTTTTAAGTATTAATGAGAAACCCAAATTGCCTCTCAATCCAGCCTGTGAATCTTATGTAAAAGGCTTATCCTCATTAGCAAACCAAAACATTAGCAGTTGATACTTGATAGCCTCAAGACATGGCCGCATCCCTCCTTGCACCCAAACCACAAATTATATTCCCAGGAAAGTGGACAGCAGCCGGCCGACTCGCACCTATGTTTGAATTTTAAGACCTAAATGAACCTAAGTCCTAACACACAATCATCCTACCAAGACCACGTGCCGCAACATCAGTGGCAGTCATTATAGAACTCCTGCCACTTTTAAACTCAGCCAGGACCCAATCCCTTTCATCTTGGCTTTTATCACCATGGATGGATAAAGCTGGCCACCCATCCATTCTCAGCTGTGTTGTGACTTGATCGCATCCCTTTTTTGTCTCCAAAAATATTAAAATCCGGCTTCCATCCATCAGTTCTTTGAGAAGTCTGATCAACCTGCAGATTGCAGTAAGAACTCAAAATTATCAGAGGCAAAAGTAAACATTTTTGCACAACTAGTCACCAAAATCACACCTGTTGTACTTCTCCACCTCTGTCATTATTTCAACAATTTGGTTTATAGACTGGTTTGCTTTCAGATCAGGGGACCCAATGAGTACCTAAAAGACCAAAAAAAATTGAAGATCAATCAATAAGCATTGATGTATCTAAATATAGTGCGTAGCATGTATAATAGGAAAAGATTTAAAATAGAGACCTTATATGGATTGCGCAAAAACTGCCTAGCTAGAGTCTCCACCTCTCTTGGCCATGTGGCACTCCAGTACAATGTCTGTCTATCTGGTCGGATCTATATTTGAAAATACTTCAAAAATTTACCACCAAAACTCATTCTTTTTAACTGGACTTCATCATGACATGGAAGTATACTAAGTAGATAAAAATAAAAAATGTAAGATTATTAATTATAACATAACAAAAATTATTCATTCATGAATTAGATTAATTGAACATCACATGCAGGAAGAAAATACCTAAATCATATAAAAAATGCATTGTCATATCAGTCACACATCCAATAGACTGTGTGAATATCAACTTCAGTTTCATCTAACTGTTACATTACGGATCATAAAATAGGCACACAACTTGAGTGCATTCATTCTGTCATATAACGGCCATCATGGACACAGCCAACTTTGCACCATGATGCCAAGAAGTAATGACCCATATCACAACTCACAAGTGAGTGACCTTCACCGAGGGGTAACAAAAATATACCCAGGTAATGAGAGCTTATCAAATGTATTTTGAAATTGAGCAGGAACTTCAGACCAGTGGTTCTGATGCTCATATGCATGTTCATGGAGAACTGGTCCATCTTACTAGAGATGTACTCAGACTATGAAAAGTAATCTCTATTATTAACCAAAGCTTTCTAAATAAATCTCAGGTAGTAACAAAAAATTGGACAAAAAGAGTGGTATAATTTGAGTGGCACAAGACAAGTTGATCAAGACTCAGATTCATCCACCTGATGGTCTGGCAAAATAAGGAGTAATGTGCAGCAGCCAACATTCAGTTCAAGCATCACACCAGCTGTCATACACTTCCGGGGCATAATAAAGAGTTGACTTATTTGTGATGCACGCACATGTTAAAGCTAAAGATAATTTAAGATCTAATAATCTGATGATCAAGTAGGATGCCAAGAAAAACAAAATACTAGTGTCCATACTTTTGAGAGAATTGACTCCATACTGTACCTGAGTTTTATTAAGGAATCACAATTACAAATTAAAAGTAACGTGTTATTCCCAATGATAAGCAATGGAGTGTCCATGTGTTAACATCCAATAGGTGAATAAGAAGTCCAAATAATAGACACGCTATTCAACATCGCTAGATGAAACTCTTTCAAGACACAAATACAAACACACATACACACTCACAGAAACGAAAACAATTACACATCATATATTACAAATGCCAAGGATGACACACAATCATACTCAACTTATAGACCATACACACTCCTGAAACAGGTGTAAACCAAAGTCCATGCAAAAATATTATTAGAGCATGGAAGGCTATGATTTCCAAAATGCAGTTCTCTGACGCAGTTAGAATCACATCATGAAAAAGAGGGAGTGATTGAATTCATACTTGGGCAACAATTTTGCGGATTTGAGGCTCAAACCCCATATCCAACATTCGATCAGCCTCATCCAACACAAGATAAGTCACTCTTTTCAAGTTTGTGCGCTGAGCTTCCAACATATCTATCAATCGCCCAGGAGTAGCTATAACAATTTCAACACCTGCCATGAAAGAAAGTTAATTTGTAAGCTTCACATGAATGGATTCACATCCAGCTGAAGAAATTATCCAAGGGGAAATGCAAGTACCTCTTTGAAGATCACGAATCTGTGGTCCTTTTGGGGCACCGCCATAAATGCAAGTACTCCTTATATTCGCACGAGATCCAAATTTCAGAGTTTCTTCTTGAATCTGAACTGCCAATTCTCTGGTAGGTGCCAATACTAGCACAATAGGACCTTCACCTTGTACTGTATTATTAACAATAAGGAGACAACTTATAAGACTACTTGAAGATAAAAACGATGGCAATCCATACAGAACTGTAAAACAATACTTACGCAGACGAGGCTGTGCACTGACATGAATCAAAGCAGGAAGCAAATAAGCCAGCGTCTTTCCAGAACCAGTCTCAGCAATGCCAATTACGTCCCTACCCTTTAAAGCCATCGGCCACCCTTGAGATTGGATTGGTGTTGGCTCAACAAAACCCAATCCGGCAATGACCGCAAGGCAAAAATCTACCAAACCATACAAAATCAACCAACTTATTAGTAACATGATACCTTGAGTGCTATAGCTAAAATGCTCAATTAATGTTATGCATCCCAAAATATACCAGGAAAATTTGCTTCTTGGAACATCCGAATGGGCTTTGGGACATCATGGCCTTCGGTGGTGATCTCTCGTCTTGCACGATAAAGAGCAACATCTTGATCAGTCATTGCCCTCACCGAAGGACATTCAACGTAAAAGTTCTTCTCGAATGGGACCAAATTACCAAAATCTTGCTTGGGAAGAGCAATATTGTCCAAGTCCCCTCTCGATCCACCATGTCTACCTCCTTTGCCGCCACTGCCACGGCCTCCATTAAAACCCCTTCCTCCACCACCACGCCCACTGCTAAAACCACTAACCCCACCTCGGCCTGCGTCAAAACTCCTATTACCAGCACGGCCTCCATCAAAGTTCTTACCACCACTCCAATTTCCATCAAAACCCCTACCCCCAACACCGGTTCTACCTCCACCACGACTAGCATCGAATCCCCTCCCCGTACTGCCACCTCTCCCAATTTCACGACCCCTTCCACCACCACTGCCCTGATAACTACCACTTCTCCGATCCACAATACCACCATTAGCCATTCTGCCACCAGCACCTCTACCGCCACTAAACCCTCTTTCTCTTCCTCCTCCTCCTCTGCCAATATCAAAACCTCTTCCAACCTCAGGCTCAAAAGGCGGGTACCCACCAAATCCTCTACCACCAGGAACAGATCCAACACCACCTCCGTGCTCTCTTCCACCACCCACCACAGGTGGGGTCCCCACTGGAGGACCCCCAAATGGAGCCGGTCTACCACGGCCAAAGCTCTGAGGTGGCCCACCCATCACAGGCCGCGCTGCCGGAGGCGGTGGCCCCGTTAGATCACTAAAATTACAAAAATTCGGTAAATCATAAAAACTTCTTACACGAAAGCACATAAACGACAATACAAATACACATAAAACATGATCAACCATTATAAGATCCAAAATTCACCACCCAAATACACGTATTTGCGTACACATACAAGCCTGTATAAAGGTAGCGTCCTATAAATGTAAACATGGAAAGAGAAGATAGATCTGAAAGAGCGTGAGCGCGTGCGTGTGTGCGTGTGTGTGTGAGAGAGAGAGAGAGAGAGAGAGAAGAGAAGAGCGTTTTGGGGTACCTTCGACGTTGACGGTAGGAGCCGACGTCGTCGTATCTGGAGTCGTAAGGGTTCAACATGATCACTACAGAGATGGGTCGGGTGCTCTCTGGCGGAACGAAAGAAGAAGAGATTTGGCAGTGCAACAGCTAGGGTTAGGGTTTGAAAACAGAGCCAGGAATTGCAGATTTGGAAGGGAGAGAGAGCTGAAAGTTAAAAATCGTTTCTTTCTATTTTGTAGCGAAACAATATCTTTGGACAAATTACTCTTTTTACCCCTAAATTATGGACTAATTGTACTATAACAAAATTTGATACCTTATCGAAAGTTATCGTTTTTTAAGGACAAACTACACATTTTAAAAGCGAAATCACAGCTCTTTAAAGTATTTTGTCATCGTTTATTAATAAACTCTAATCAATTACATGTCTATTGAATGTTGGGTAATTTTATTTTATCAAAACAACAAAAAAAATTAGTATTGTACCGAAAATTATTACTTTTCATATTAAAATTATAATTTTTAAAAATGAAATTACAAATAATTGAGACAATTTATGATCGATTATAAAATATTCTTATTGATCATAAATTATTATAATCAATTATAACTACTTCTTTCCTCTTTATTATGTTATAATTTAATTTTTAAAAGGTATAAACTTTTATGATTGATCATAAAATTATAGAATTAATCATACTTTTAACAATTATAATTTATACCTAAAAAAATTATAACTTAATTTTAAAAAATTATAAATTTTAGTATGATACCATCCGGTGAGCAAGCTCTTTAATCTCTTTCGTGGTGCCCAATCTTGCATCACTTCCAATTTTTTTTATAAAAAGAAGAATGTAAATTTTTTTATAAAAAGAACAATTAGGGTGAAGATTGCATTAATAGGAGTGAGACTTGATAAATAGGGTTGACAATGGAGTTGAACTATTTGGGCTCAACTCAATAAATTCGACTCGAACTTTTAAAGTTTGACCCGATTATTATCAGTTTTATTAAATGATAAAATTGATTGGAAATGGAGAAACTTAAACAAAATTAACGAATTTTATTATTAAATGTCCAAAATCAATTCTGACGACATAGTGGCCATTGGGTCCAAATGTACCACAGCAGACAAGAATGGGCGGTTTGGGGTTTTGTTTGGGCCTCCCCTTCAAACAGGGAGTAGCACCTGCCAGGCCACTGGGCCTCATAGGGCCCACAACTTCTGAAAACGCCACGTTGCAACCCCATGAGCATCGGAGCCACTAATTCCAACTTCGCTGGCCCACTTTTCTGTTACTTTACTTAAATCCAATTCCAAACGCATCCCTATAAAACAACAGAATCGTCATGGCGGTTCCTTCCTCAAACCCCTTACCCTTTCGTCGTCGTTTCCTAATCCACCACTCTCTCTTCTCTCTCTCTCTCTCTCTATATATATATATATAGTCACTATAAAACCCTGGCGAGGCTTGAAGGTGCTACCAAATTCCAAAGCATCTCTCTCTCTCTCTCTCTCTCTCCCACCGAACTGTCCTCGTTTAGTTTGTCGAATCATGACTGGTACCTTGGGTTCGAACAAGAAGACGAATAAAATCAAGTTTCTCTACAGTTACGGAGGTAAAATTGTTCCTCGTAGGGTCGACGGCAAGCTCCGGTACCTCGGTGGACATACCAGAGTCGTCGCTGTAGATCGTTCGGTCACATTCGCAGGTGAGTTGGCTTGAATGGTTTACACTTATTGATTCTCACCTTTTCGTGTAGTATGAATCTAGGGTTTTAAATTTTGAGGAATTGAATTATTTTGATGTCGGCACAGAGCTGATGGTCAAGTTTGGAGAGTTGTGTGGATCGTCCATGAGTTTGAGATGTAAATTGCCGACTGAAGATCTCGACTTCCTTGTCTCTGTTGCCTCCGATGAGGACCTCTCTAATGTCATCCAAGAATACGATCGAGTCTCGTCGTCTACGGCTGACAAGTCGGAGATGAAGGTCAGAGCGGTACTTTTTCCGATCAAACCGCTCAAAAAAGAATTTTCTCTTCCGTCAATTGTTTCGTCTAGTTCCTCCACTTCTTCTGCATCACCATCGCCGCCGTGTGGAGTTCCCGGATTCTATTCTCCCCCTCCCCCTCAGCACAATCGTTCCGGCTGCCGATTTTCCTCTCCGGCAGTTAGATTCCGTGTCGGTGATCAGAAAGACGGCGGGAAAGTTCAGCGGTGTTACTCTCGTTGCTGTCATTGCGAACGGAGGAGTCCTAGGCGTATGTACGTTGTTCCTCCATGGAATCACAGTCACTAGAGTGAGGATTTTTTTTTTTTTTGGGTGCTGTAAAATGGATAAACATATAGGTCCTTTCATATATCTGTCAAACATCCGTCCTTCAGCACTACAACTATCTGCAAAGTGGACTCCATCGCACTGGGCCGAAGATAAGGTCTCGTCGCTTGCTCCAGACCTTAAAGAGTAGATTTAGTCTCTAAAGAGTCATCGTAGTTATCAAGATTTAGAACGAGAAAATTTGAGTTTATACCCGAGACCAACAGGTCGTTGGTGGGTGAGGATATTCTACTGTTGAATATTTATATTTTATAATAAATAACGTTATTTTAATAAACAACACATCTACTGTTAAAAAATAGAAAAATAGAGGAGTTGGACCTCACTGCCCTAAGCTGAAAAAGCTGTCTACATGTGAGTAATGTTACATAATTTAAATAAAATTTAAAAAATTATAATCAACTTGTGTATCATCTGAATGAGTTTTTATGAATGAGTTTTATCAATTTGTATAGTAAAATTCATCCAACAATCATTTAAGAAATGATTTGTATTTAAATTATAATTTTTGGGTTTTATTTGAAGAGTAATGGTAGATGGATTTAAAAATTAGATTTAATAATTTCAATCGTTGAATAGGTAGTAGGTCTCAATAAATGTTAAGACTACAATAAAATTAATAATTGAGATTATCAAGTCTAATTTTTAAATTTATTTTTTAAATTCATATCCTCTGCTCTTCTCTGCCATCTTTATTCGGAGGAGGTCGCACTCCGTGAAAAACAATAAGCCCAGCGCAAAGCAATTCAACTTTAAAACCCTTTCGGAAAAAGTGCTTCAACCAACTTAATCTATTATATACTTAAAATAGTCACAAAGTCAAAGGGTTCCGTGATTTTTTCGAAAAGGTTCCGTTGAGATGAGATGTAGGTCATCTCACGTGATAGACAATGCCAAGATATTGGAAGTGTTTTTTAATAAATAATTTCGGATGTATAGTGCTACAATTTTACAATAAAAAAAATTATCAATTTTACATGTGATTTATCACTTTTGTGAGCGCATTTACTATTTTTTGAACATTTTTATCACTATTGTGGTAATTATTTTTTTTTTTTTTTTGGTATTTTTATCATTTTTAAGTATTTTTATCATTGTTGTGATAACTATTTTTTATTACTTGTGTGTGTATTTTTACTATTTTTAAAAATATTTTTATCACTATTGTAGTAACTACTTTTATTACATTTTTATTTTGTGATTTATCACATTTGTGAGTGTTTTTATCAATATTATCAGAATCGGACCTGTCATCGAACCAGTAAAGAGACCGGGTCAATGATTCACTGGTTCAATCATTCGGTCAACTGATCGCACCGATCATATAATAAAAAATAAAAAAAATTATATAATAATTATAAAACTTAATAATTTAGCTAAAAAATATAAAAAAATTAATGAAATTAAGTAACAAAGTGGAGATTGTTGTATTTTAAAGCAAAGTAAAGAGATTCAAGTAAATTATAAAGAAAAAAAAAGGATGTCATTTATAATTTATCCAAGAATAAGGTTAAAAAAAATCAGTTATTTATTGATTTAGGACAAAAAAAATTATTTATGTAATTTAATTTTTAAATAGGCATTAAACTTTCTAGTTTTTATAAAACCGCCGGTTCACGATTTTTTGTTAAAAATAGGCCGATTTTTTGATTTTTAGTCAATTCGCTTTCTTAAGCGGTTCAATTAAGAAACCGGAGCGGTTAGGGTCTCAATTCATAGTTGAACCGGTCCAGTCCAGTTCTGATAACACTGATTTTTATCGCAGTTGTGATAATTATTTTTGTCACTTTTTTGATATCATAATAATTATAAAAAAACACTCACAAATATTATAAATGTCGATAAAAAAATTTGGCACACATTTTTAGGTGGTGCAACTGAGTCCCATTTTGGTTAAACGCAGTGTTCTTTTGGAATATTTTTTATCACTTATAGTACCACCAATTTTATCAATCATCATCTGATTTATCATTTAACAAAGAGAAATTAGACAAAGATAATAAGATCCATACATTTGTCCAGAAATTGATATGGAGGGAATCAAGAACTTGACACTTAGAGACTTTTTTGCAATATCATAAACATAAGTGAACATAATCATCCATACTAACAAATGTAAGCAAATAAATTTAGGGTGTTAATATTAGTCGTTGGATTAACTTTAAAATAAAATTTAAAGAAATCTCGATCACGAAAAATAAAAGTCATTTTGTTTATCTTTTGAAATTTAAATAATATTATACTTTATTATATAGATGAAAGAGTTTGGCAGGTTGAGAGATTTGATCAAAGTTAAGACTAGGTTAACAAGGTTTTTTTTTTTTTTTTTTTGGTTCTACAGTCAAGGGTGTTCAGACTTTCTCAAAAAAAAAAAAAAGGGTGTTCAGACCATTTTATGCGTACCTCAATTAATCTCCTTCACAATCTGTTTAAAGACAGACCATGCATGCACGTTGGGACTAAGTTAATTTATAAAGTTTATAAAATTTAGTAGGTTAACACACTAGATTCAGGGCGGCACAATACAAATAGGGGTCTAGGCGAAAAACTCTATGCAGGCCTCTACTAATATTTTGTGTATTCACTTACCCAAAAAAAATATTTTGTGTATTCATATATATTATTTTTAATTATCATAGGGTTTCTATTTTATGGATTATGTTGAGCTTAAATAAATTAAGAGTAATTTTGGACCTAATAAAATTAGACATTGATTTGAGCTCCTAAAATTTGGGTCTTATCTAAAACTCCAAAAAATAAATGAGCCTATAAATTTGGGTTAAATTTTTATGTAAATTGGAAGGGGTATACTAAATTAGAATTAATTGTAAAAAAGTACACAAAAAAAAAGAGTAAAAAAATTCTTAATTTTGATACTTATTTGTGTTCAAGTATATTATTTGAAATTTTCAAATTTTCTTGTGAAAATTTTGTCCCCCTTTGCTTCATGCATATTTTTTTTGAAAAATTGTTTTATTTTCAAATTATATTTATGCATTAAATATCTCATAGTTTTATGAGATTACTTTAATATTCTGTTTATTTATGCATTAAATATCTCCTAGTTTTAGGATATATCATTTTGTTTGAATTTCAAATTTTGAAACCCTGTCTTTATAGAGTCAATTGTAAAAAAATACACAGAAAAAAATGTAAAGAAAAAAAAATCCTTAATTTTAGTTCTTATTTGTGTTCAAATACATAATTTGAAATTATTGAATTTTTCTTTGACAATTGTGCTCCCTTAATTCATGCGATTTATTTTTGGAAATTGATTTTTTTTTTTTTAGATTATATGTATGCATTAAAAATCTTCTAATTTAATGGAAGATTTGATCCTTCCATTTTTTTTGAGGATAAATATATACATTAAAAATCTTCTAATTTAATAGACGATTTGTTTTTTTGATTCTTTCGTTTATTATAAAGTTAAATTAGTTGGTTTGAATTTCAAATTTTGCAACAGTATATTTTAATATTTTATTATTTTAAAGGTGATTATTTTTTTTTAATATGCGAATACCATAACAGTGTAACAATAACAATGTAATAAGACACTTACATAAAATATTTTACTATTACATTTTGTCAAACATAATTTGTATATAATTTTATTCAAACAGTTTATCTTTATTTTAAATTTATCACATCCACAAAGCCACTGAACATTGTTGTTATTACATTGTATTGTTACACTGTCTTTGTTACACTTAAGGGAAACACAGTCCGCAGTTTAAGAGATACACACAGTTTATTCACATACAATGAATTAATATGGTAGAAACATCGTACTTTACACAGCCCAACGATCAACTTTCAACAACTAGTTTTGATTTTCAAATGCTGAAATTCGTACATATCTTCAATTGGCGAACAAATTGTCAAAAAATAAATGTTGTTGACGATCTTACATCAAATGAACTGAACAATAAAATTTTTCCTTCAAAAACAAAACCCTCTAAATGTTCAGGGAACAAGAATTTTTTGCCCAAAAAACACCAAAATCAAAATAAATGTAATAATATTTTAATTTTGGATAACACATGATGTCAATACAAAAAAAAAAGTACACGAAAATGACGAAGTTCAACGATCACCTTATTAAACACAGGCCAACGGGCAACAATCAACGCCTGTTTCAGGTTTACAAATGCCGAAATTCAAAAATTTCTTCAAATTGCGAACAAAATTTTCACCATTCTTGAGTTTGTGCCAATCAAACCCAAATCCTCTGATAATTGATGTACATTTTACAGTCGAAACCCTCTCCTTGTTTATGAAAAACAGATAGTTGGGAAGTTTTTCGAAAAAAAATGAACCAACCTTGTGAGAAAGAAGAAGTATAAAGAACGATTACCGAATATAAAGAGATTTTGAAATAAATGTATTTAAATTTTAGTAGTTAAGATAAATGCATTATTACAATTTTTAGGAAAAAAAATTTATAAAATGGACATTTAAGTCTTTATATCCCAGTAGTTTATTTTTTTTAAATATTTTTTTTAAATATTTTTTTATAATTAAGTCTAATTTAATATGCCAACTTCCAAAAGAACTCTAAATTTTTTGGAACTCTTCTAAAACTGTCCCTAAGTAGCCATTTTAGTGGCCTATGCCAGGGGCCAGTCCTGTCTAGATCTAGACATTAAACCCCCCATACTAATACGGAAAACTCAAGTACTGGGACTCTGACCCTAAACCTGAACCCCGAGGTTCACCCCCAAACTTGAATCCCAACGTTGTACTCGAATCTAGACCCTAATCTAGCATCAGATCCAAACTTTGCATGGCCCCAAACTCGATACCTAGAGAATGTGGAGATAGGGTTGGTGATTGTTGGTGGTCGAGAGTGATAGTGTCGACCAATGATAATAGAATCGGATCAGTCATCGACTCGATTAGAAGATTGAGTCAATAATTCACTGATTTAATCGTGAGTCAATTGATCGAATTGATCATATAATAAAAAAATAAAAAATTATATATAATAATTATAAAATATAATAATTTAACTAAAAAATATATATTTAAAATACATACAATTTACCATAAAATTTACGAAATAAGTAAAAGAAGATACATATGTGACAAATATCAAAATCAAACAAAAGACAGTCATCAAAATCAAATAGCAATGTGCAAAATAAACACTAAATAATTAAACAAACAACATCATCCAATAGAAGGTCATCCACCAAATAATTGAAAACTATAGTACAACAAATAATACACAGAAGGTCGCTGCATCACTGATAAGAAGAGCTTTTTTTTTAAAAAAAAAAAAATTAATCAGAAGAGCACTGTTGCATGGAGCAGAAGTCTGAGTGCCGCCTGAGTCTGAACAACTTGAGTGCCGCCTGGAGCAAAAGTCTTAACAGCCTCGATCGATGGTCGCCTGAGTGCCGCCTGAGCAGTGAGCATTAATCGCTGTCTCCCTTTAGCTGGTGAGAGGAAGAGCACTGATTCCTTTCTGTGTCGCCTGAGTCTGAACAGCCTCCCTCTCTTCTCTTTCTCTACCTTTTCCCTTCTGTCAGTTAGCCTATTTAGGGCAAAATCAAAATGCCCAAACCCAAGAAAAAAGTAGATTAATGGACTTTAAACCGACAGGTTTTAGAAAATCGTCCGATACCCGATTTTCTCCAAAAATCGGCCAGTTTGGCGGTTTTTATCTGGTTCCTTCTTTATGCGGTTTAATTAGTCAATCAGACCGACTAAAGTTCTGGTTCACGGTTGAACCGGTCAGATCTGTCAATCTAATCCGATTTTGATAACACTGACGTCAACTAACGGTGGTTGATAATGGGTAATATCACATCATATCAACTAATAACTAATCATATTAATGGGATTACACATTCTATGAAAATAAGAACGAACTTTCATAACTACAAATCAAAACATTGCAAATGACCATTATTTAGTAATAAATCAATTTTTCTTTATTACTCTTAACATGTGAATTCCATATAACAAGGGCTTGTACAAGCGATGAAGCATATGGTTGAATTCGATACAAAGTGAAAAATCTTACAATTTGTTGTAGCATGTTAGTAATAATGGAACAGTTCTGTTAATAGGAACAAAGACAAATATATTTATTCTATACTCAATAAATATCAACACGTAATTAGGGTTGATGCTTAGAGGTGATAAAATATGATATGACTAGTTAATGTGACACAAAATTAGAAAGTTTAAGTCTTTTTTAAATCACTCGTTTTATAAATGAGTGGACATGATATAATATGATTAATAAATGAATTAAGTATGAATGAAATTAATTATAAAAAAAATATGATACGATTCATTTATATATTGATTGTACACAATTTATATGCGATATAACTTATTAGACATAAATTAATAAAATAAATCGAATATAAATAAATTTACTAAAATTCATATCAACTTGTCTGAGTTGACACGATTGTCAAACGTATTAGGACCTTCTCTTCTATGAACAAATATAGTTTGGTTGTAAAATAATGAGAAAAATTCTCGCCCGGACATTAGATTCAGAAGATTCTAAAACAGTACTCAGCCGGCAATTCTCGAGTTTATCACAACAAATCGCAACCGTCAAATTTCAGTTGCCAAATGTACCGGCGATCACATCCGGTCAAAGCTAACAACTCCAAAAGAGTCGGTACAAACAGTTATCGATTACTTCTTTTGTTCTCTCTTTCTCTCGATCGCGATAGGCCCTAGCTCTGAACTCCAAAGCCTAGCTCTCTAACAGTTTCTCTCTCTAGATCATCATGGATCCAAATCCTAAAACCTTCCCAATCCTCTCCTATGTCATGGCCAAACTCCCTAGTATCGGCCCCAAACGCACCACTGTTGAATTCGACGTCGAACAACCACCGCTACCACAATCTCCATGTGCTTCCACTTCCAAAGAACCTCAATTCGAGCTCACGGAGCAAATGCCCCATCTCACCGACCCCAAAGTCATCGCTTCTATGCGATTGGCCGTCGCCGATGTCGCCCAAACCCGATCGATACTGGAGACACTAGGTGAAAGGCCTGATCATGAGTCGGTTGATAAGGCGAAGGCGAAGATAGTTGAAATTGAGGCGAAATTGGCTAAGGATTTGGGAGAGATTGTGGTGTCTCCGAGGCCGGCGGAGGTTGATAGGGCTCAGTGGAGGGCGCATTTGTTGGAGAAGGAGGAGGAGTATCGTAAGGAGGCGGAGAAGGAGAGGCAAATGTATAAGGCGGTGGTTTCGCTTGATGAAATCCACGAGGGGTATGAGAAGATGTTGAAGGAGGCGGAGGAGAAGTTGGAGAAGATTTATGCGACCGTTGTGACGGGCGATGATTCTGTGGCAGAGAATTCGAAGGGGGATTCGCAGGTGGCGGAGGAAATTAATGAGGAAGTGGTGGGGATTTTGATGGATGCACCTGGGAAGGGGATTGAGAGGGTGGATTTGTCGGGACGAAAATTGAAGTTTTTGCCGGAGGCCTTCGGAAGGCTTGGCGGATTGGTTGTGTTAGATTTGTCCAACAATCACCTTGAGGTTAGGCTTATTGTATTTCCTTTTCCATCTGATCTTGAATATCATATTAGATCATTGAATTTGAATTTATATGATTTGTTGATTTTCATTGCTGTCACAACTGTATTTTGTTGATGGTTTATATGGTTTCAACTTTCAATACGGTACTGAATGACTGGGCAGTAATCTGATAACCGATGGGGTTCCGATAAGATGTTCTTGGGTCAGATAACTGTGAAATCTATATTTTAATTCGACTGTGTTCGCTTAGGTGTTCTCTGCATTAATAAGAGGGTAAAAGAGGAAGTAAATTGTCGTTCCAATGGTATTATCATTGATGTCTTCATACTAACAATTCTAGTTGTTCATTTTTTGGGACTTGTACTTGTTTTTGTAATTATTGACTTTTGGTTTCCATGAAAACATGAATATTTTGTGAGATTATGCTGGCACTGTGGATCAATCTAATCGTGCCACTTTAATCTGATAGGTTTTAAATTTAACTAGTGATCCGAATTTCCTTTTTGATACCATCCCATTTGTTTAAACCATGAGTCTCATGACTTGGCCGAGTCATTTTTGAGTCAATCCTGAGTCATCTTCATCGAATTAGCTGATACTACTCTGTGATATGATGTAAACCTTTCGTCACATTATACATTTTCTTTTATCTAGCATTTCCTATGTATTAACCAATAATGTGCTGCGATGCTACAATTGAGGTCTCTCAGTGCCTGCCAAATTGATGGTCAATATTGCAATCTTGAACCATGACAACATGTGTTTATGCTCACTTTCTTATTACCTGATTCAGCTCGAGTTAGTTGAGATTAAGCTGGTCGTCAGATATGCTACTCTGCATTCTGGCAAATCCGCATATTATGTTAGAATCACTGAAAAATTTAAATATTCAATCTTTATAATTGAGCCAGTTGCATTGATCATAGTATTTTTTTGCTGGTACATATGGTCCACTAAGTGGTAAGTAGGTCCCTTACAAATGGTTCCATTACACATCAGACGTCGACATGGAAAGTAGTAACTCTGGATTGTACTATACGAGCATTTGCTGAAACCAAACCTGGTAACTTAATTTCGGATTCTGATGCTACCGCTTTGTCAGTATCGGTGGGTGGGGAATGCAAGGGGTTTTGGTAAAACCTCTTCTTGAAAATTAAATTTCAGGTTATTATATTAGGGTTAATTTTTTCTGTCATACTTTAGGACATAATTTTAATTTTAATTTTAATTTTTTATAATTGCTATTTTTGTTATTATGGAAATATTTCTTCTCTCCTTCAGTTCTCTCCCTCTTTCTTGTTCTTCCCTATTTTCTTCTTCAGTTGTCTCTTTATCCTTCTCTTTCTTAGTCTCTGCCCTCTTGTTACTACATCAATTGATTACAAAAGAGGATGAAAAAAATCAATAAATGACCTTCAGAGATAAAGACTAAATGCCTGAAGGGAAAGAAATTTGCTGTAGCAAGGGTAGAGGCGTATGTCTGCCTATCAATCAACTTGTGTCATTTGCTGAGATCAACGTGAATTGAGTTGCTGATCTGTCAGAAATGGTGAATACTTTAATTTTTTGTACTCGTACCATGATGTGTTCTAGCAGTTGTTGCTGAGTCAAGGGAAGTATGTCGAGGGAGTTGTAATAGACTGTTAACATACGTTGTTTTTTTTGTGGCTCCAAGTATGATTTTACTGCAATGATGACCTTCTTTTTTCCTCATCCTCCCCCTCCCCTTCAACTTTCCAATGAGTGTGCTGCTTGTTTTTTGTTCTGATAAATTGTTATGCCAAATGTATAAACTTCTTGATGAAACAATTTGACTTGACAGATTGTTTCTGTACATTACATGATTGTGGGCTTCACTCTTTTCATATTCTGTTCCTGACATCTGGCTTACCTGCTTGTGAGGGAAATAGTTCGTTCCTGATTCAATTGCTGGACTAGAAAATCTTGAGGAGCTCAATCTTTTGTCAAATCTTTTGGATTCATTGCCAGATTCCATAGGATTGTTGCAAAATTTGAAGATCCTAGATGTCTCTGGAAATAAGCTCACAGCCTTGCCTGACAGCATCTGCCATTGCAGGTAATCCTGATAAACAAACTAATGTCATTTACTCTATTTCCTTGCATTCATTATCAGTCTTTTCAGTTTAGTTTCTTTCTTCCAGGTCATTGGTGGAGTTGGACACAAGCTTCAATAAACTGACGTACTTGCCAACAAACATCGGGTACAAATTAGTGAATCTAAGAAGGCTTTCAATCCATCTGAACAAGATTCGCTCTCTTCCAACTTCTATTGGTGAGATGACGTCCTTGCACCTTCTAGACTTGCACTTCAATGAACTCCGTGGCCTTCCACTTGCAATAGGGAGATTGACAAATCTTGAGATCCTTAATCTGAGCAGTAATTTCAGTGACCTAACTGAACTTCCTGACACGCTTGGTGATCTAACTAACCTCAAAGAACTTGATCTGAGCAACAATCAGATCCATGCACTTCCCGATACATTTGGCCGGCTTGACAATTTGACTAAGCTTAATTTGGACCAAAACCCTCTAATGATTCCTCCAAAGGAGATTGTGAAGGAAGGGGTTGAAGCTGTCAAGGTTTTTATGGCTAAGAGGTGGCTAGATATATTGGTTGAGGAGGAGCAGAAGAGCATGCTTGAAGTGAAAGAGCAGATACAGACCGGTTTATTAACTCGCAGCACCTCCTGGTTGACTAATGTTGTTTCAAGTGTTTCTGGGACTGTTTCAGGATACTTGGGGTCCACGGGTAAATCTAATATAGATCCGTACCTTGATCAGCAGCTCTGATTTCTCTTGTTGTTTCAGCGTCCACTTCCTTTTGAATGCACGATAAGGAGGGGAGAAATAGCTCTTCTGGTTTATCCACTCGAGTCTTTAAGGGGCAGTGGACTACATTTTTGTTGCTTTTTGTTTTTTTGCCTAGTCAAAATCGTGGGAAATGTCCATAAAGTTTTGCAACAAAATAAAAGTCATCAGAACTTTCTATGTTGTTTTTCTTTTCATAACTTTGTCATGGAATCCAATGTAGCTTGTTGTACATTCCCCCAATTACAAAACCACAGGTTCATTTTAGTGTTAAAAAAGGTTGTGTGATTCGGTCATGTGGTGCAGGCAGCACTTGATGAATATGTTTGATTTTTCTGAAGGTGGGAGTTTTATTGTTATTTCATTCCTATCAAAACTGTGAGACTTGTTGATTCTGGATTTGGGCATTGTAGGCTGGTGTTCAATTTGTTTGGCAATCAGATAAATGACCGTATCCTTATTGTCGTCTCTTTTTGCTTAGTTTCGTGATTCTCAAATAGGAAATTGCATACCATTAGCCGATGTACGTATAAGAATATGGGTACATAATATTGAATGTAATCCAGGTCAAGGAGCAAAGTTGGCTTGAGCCACAGGAAGAAGAAATTCTAAAGATTGCTTAGCTTAGCTAGATTAGATCTGTCCAGTCCAGATGTTGGAATTAGTTTATTTTGTATTTATTATCTTGGACTAGTTGTATCGTCATCAACGTTCTGACTTGTTTCGATCATTGAGAAAGGGATCTGAGTATTGAGTTCAAATTCAGATCAATCAAAATTCAATCTTCTGACAGACCTATTGCATGAAACAGACGGACTATGCTTTTATCTTTGTAACAGAACAGTGCAAAGTGTGCGACTCTGCCAAGCTTTTGAGACATAATTTCTACTGGTCAACTTAAACCAAACAGGTACAGACCCATTTTCACATCCTTTTGTCAATCAAGAAAGTGAATTATGGGGCAGCTGTGAACGGTGTCAGTCTGCAATCTGACTGGAAGACAATACAGGTAGCCTAATCCTGACCCATCCCATTGATTGATCTCTTAAAGTTAATAGACAATTCGTCTAGTAATTCTTGACAAAGTGGCTAAATCAGGATTAGGAATAATCATGCTTTTTTGGTTTGTGTCGGTACATTGTTTTTGTTAGCTGGAAAAAATGAAACATTAGGTTATCACGTTTTTAATTGTAAAGTTGGTATTTTCACAAGTTGATGAGTCAATATCAAGGATTTCGAGTTGCAAAAAAGGCATCTCCACATGCAAAGATAAAATTGGGTATATTTAATCATCTCTAAACCCTACAATGACCGAAGTTTCATGCACTGAGAAGTCATTTTTTTTTAGCAAACATGTATCTAATATGTCATCTCAATAATAACAGAATGTGATTCTTATAACCGACTCAAAAACAATTGGGATGATGTCCATTTGAACAGAATAGGGGAGTGAAACTCAAAAGTTATGCAAGTGATTAATAACAAAACACCCATTTTGCATGTGTTTGTCCTCATATAGTTTAATTATTCCTAATCCCAACCTCTGCATTTATGTAAGCCAACCAACCATTCAGAGCTCTTCATTGTGTCTCATCCTTCTTCATATGGAGCCATTTTCCTTCATTTTTCTTGACATTTCAAGAAAAAGCTGTTAGAATATGGATCAAACTCTTCTTGGGTCTCCTTTGATTTCTAGCTCAGAAAAAGGTCTGGGTTGCGGCGGAAATGCAAGCACTAAATGGTTTGATAAATCAGAAACTACTGCAGAGCTGAAGAGACAACTGCGTTTGGCAGGGCCTCTAGTTCTAGTATATGTTTTGCAATATAGTTTGCAGATGATATCGGTTATGTTCGTCGGTCATCTTGGAAAGCTCTCTCTCTCCAGTGCATCAATGGCCTCTTCATTTGCTGGAGTGACTGGTTTCAGCTTCATGGTAAAGGCTTATTCATGAATGGTTGGATGGACATTTCCTCCTTATTGTTTCTCATGTTGACTCATAGTTTTCTCACATTTAAGGTTACTGGTATTGAAGTTAAATATGTGATTAGCTCTCAGCTTCATGTACTTTGTTTCTAGCTCTCAGCTTCATGTACCTTGTTTCTAGCTCTCAGCTTCATGTACCTTGTTTCTACCATGCTGAAGTACGTAAATTTTTTTATGATTGGACAACTTATTCTATTCTGTCTCCTTAATTATAGATGTATTCTTTTGTGATTCAAACATTGACTACTATTTTAGTTGGCAATTCTTTCTCACTATCTTAATGCTATACAATCTATTAGTTTATTAAATATGACATATGGGATTGTACCGGTCGACTGAACAATAGGAGGATAAATCCTGTTAAGGGCACCTATTTACTAACCTATTTTATTGGGCTTGCTTGGCTTTCTCTTAGCTTCCCTTCACTTCTCCAATATACTTGGAGCAAGAGGAATCGGGTTCGGGTGAGCAAGGAATTCACTCACGCTTGCTTATTTTAGTGGTAGTTCAAGCTCGCTTCTAGTATCCTTACTACTACTGCTTGAGTAAGCTTTCTCGCCTGTGCCTGCTAAAAAACTACAAGCGTAGGCTTTTCTTAGAGCTGAGGAACTACAGGGCACGCTTCAGATATTGTCCTCTTTTGCACTTTTTTATGTCTCTGTAAGTCTGAAGTTAGATTATGCAATTGAATTATGCTGAGTAAAAAATAAAAGACTAAAAGAAGATAGTTGAGATACTCAATGCTATTGCTAACTTAGATCCTTGGTTTTGAGGTTAATTATCTTCTTCCCGGAACATAAATCTCTGCATTGATATAACTTAAAATGTAGATTCTTGATGGATGTACTGTCCAAAATCAAAGATATGAATATGAACCACATATATGTAGTCAGAGTCCTATAAAATTGAAACTGCAATATCTTTCTTTGTTAGGAACTCATAGGCCATCCTGCAGAATTTGTATATCCTTGCAAATTCACTTCTGAACTAACCATAAAAAGTTCCAAAACTTCAGGTACAGAAAGATCATATCAGCACATCACTTATTTTATATGGTTGTTTAATCAATTCTTAATAGATCTACATATGCATATTAGTACACGAAAAGTCCATATATGTTCATTGTAGGTGTATTCGCACGCAAGCATAAATTTACATTTCTGGAAGTTTTAATATCTCTGGACTTTACTGTGATTAGATGGGAATGGGGAGTGCACTAGAGACCTTATGTGGACAAGCCTATGGAGCAAAACAGTATCATATGCTTGGTATACACATGCAGAGAGCTACGCTTGTTCTTATGCTTATGAGCATTCCTATAGCATTCATCTGGGCATACACGGAGCAGATATTCACTAGCTGTGGACAGGACTTGGAAATTTCGAAGCATGCTGGGACATACGCTCGTTGGTTGATCCCTAGTATTTTTCCCTACGGCCTCCTCCAGTGCCAACTCAGATTCTTACAAACTCAAAATAATGTTAAGTCATTGATGATAAGCACCGGAATTTCAAGCTTAGCTCATATTCTTGCATGCTGGATAATGGTATTTAGATTTGGCTTTGGTTATAAAGGAGCTGCTCTATCCAGCGCCATCTCTTACTGGATTAATGTGTTGATTTTAGCAATTTATATCAAAATTTCGCCTACGTGTGAAAAAACATGGACAGGATTCTCAAGTGAAGGTGTAAAAAATCTCATAAGCTTTCTATCATTAGCTATTCCTTCAGCTCTCATGGTCTGGTGAGTTTAAGTTTCCCTATGCAACTGCTTTGAATGTATAGATATAGAGCTTAACTGTCTTCCAATCCTATCATGTGTCAAGTTATTCAGAACAAACAGCAAAATTTCATCGAATTCTTAATTTTTCATATCTCCTCCCATTATCTTATTCCTCAAAAGACTAATGTTATTGCAATTTGAGATGAATAAGCTTGGAGTGGTGGTCATACGAACTTTTGGTTCTCATGTCCGGTTTTCTGCCTAATCCACAGCTGGAGACATCGATGATGTCAATCAGGTTTGCGTCTCTATCTGTCCTCAGGGTATTTGAGATAAAATGTTCTTGGCAGAATCAAATTCAAGCTCCTAGTAAAGCTATGTTCTCATGTCAGTACCACATCAGAATATGATTAACAGAAGCCAAATTCAAACCAACTGGGATTACATGAGCTGGATTTCTATTATCACTTCTTCCTCTGGAAATGATTTTCTATCACAATTTCATTAAGTATGCAAGAAAATCTTTCTTTTTACTGGTATCCTTTTTTCAAAATGCTTTGTCTTCCCTTGCATTTGTGGAAAGTTCTTCCAAAAATACAGGTTTTGTCATGCATATAAGAATTCATTGGATATAATATCACAACTAATCCCTGCCAAAAAATTTAAAACTTCCTCTATCTAGAAGCAATGTTTTTTCCGAATCACACAAATTGCCTTGTGAAATCAAGTACGTTTAAAAGAAAGTGGGCAATTTAATTCACGTGGTA